ATTTGGATTTCAAGTTCTTGATATATAATTTTTGTTTAAGTTTGGAAGATTTTCTTATCTAATACATGTCAAAGTACCTTATTTACGTTACCTTATTTAAATGAAAATATGTGAAAAGTTAAAGTATTTAAACATTTTTGCGTGCAAATGTTTATTTTATATATACATTACATAAAGAAACATAAAGAACTTTACCACCTACAAAAGATATATTTTCTTTCATAAAAGATATATTTAAGATGAATGTTCTATTCACTAATGTTTGACTTTAATATAAACGTATTTTATAAAATTAGTAATAAATATAGGTAGATAGAGAATTATAAATTGACATTTACTTGTTGCTGCATTTAGTTTTTTATTGTCAGATGTTTTATACATATCTTTTAGTACAGAGGGAATAACTTGTTTGGAGGTTTTTGAGTATTTAGAAAAAATGAGCTCATGTAGATTTTTCACTATTGCAGATTTTGTGCAAGGGTGTCTGATACCTTTACCTACTCTTTGGCAGCAATCTAAGCAACAAGATGCATTATTCACGTCTGAGGACTCAGGTTCTTTACTATAATCCTCAATAAATTCAGAAAGATTGATTTTTCAATGACTTTTTTTCTCTTTTGAAACAGCTAATGGAACATACTCATAGACCAGTATCATGTAATCTACATAGTTTCCGTATTAATCTTCTTCTAAACTTCCACAAACCTCCTATGTTTTGAAAAATATACCCTTTATTCTAAATTGTTTAATATAGCGTTTTATATACGCTTATATATATTTACATTTTCAAATGTCAATAATACGTCAGCATTAATGAAAAACTTTTGTTTAACCTTTACTAATAGAAGACATTTTTTAAATTTTGAACAAATTCTCGATAGTAGAGAATTGATTTCCAAAATATGTAAAAACCCTGGATCTACATATTGAAGAATGAGTTCCTGCAGATCTGGATTACTCTCTAATTTATGATATTTTACGTCTTTATTTAGAAAACAAAAATAAACTGTATTCCTGTTTTCTTTATGAAACCTTTGTCTTGTTAAGCTCATTTTGATCAATACTGGGAGTTCTTTAATGAATCTTTAGCAAATTGTTATAATTTTAATACCTAAATGTAAAGTAATTTTTCAAACTGCCTTCATGCAGAGACCTTTTCAGGTTTAAACTAATGTTAAAAAAGCACTTTTATATATTAAAGAAAGGTACGGGTTCTGCAATTTTTGGTGTTTCAGAAAGCTAACTTTCAGACATAAGATAAAGTCCAAACATTTATATGTTTAAATATTAGGATGTTTGAAGCTAGAGAACAAAAAAAGCTTAAAACATTACCCCTCTGCTCCAAAAGTGAGAGCAACAAGTTGACAATTTTTTTTTTTTTTACTAATCTTTACTAAATTCATTTTCGATAAGAAATTTTGTGCAATTATTTTTTAGCGTTCAAAAATTACGATCATTTAAATATTTAACTTCCCTCAAATTAAGGGGGTTACAAATTTAATTCTTTAATGCTGAAGGATTTTTACATAAAATTTCAAATTCCTAAATTAATGTGATTTTATTTAATTAGCAAAAATTTATAAACTTGTTGCTCTTACCTTTAAAGCAGGGGACAAAATTTTTTAGGGTTTTTTTGTTCTCAGGATCCAATCTTTTATTTTTACAAAACTTCTTTATTTTGACACAAGTATAAAATATAAATGTTTGGAGTTTACTCTGTGTTTGAAAGTTGGTATCTAAAACACCAAAAAAGGCTAAAAGTAAAGGTACACATTTAAAAAAAAACTTAAAAAGTAAAAGTTCACAAAATAACTACTCAATTACAGTAACGTGAGTACATGTAATTCGTTACTTTCCACGTCTGAAAAAAGCGTATAAATTTCAAAAAGGAACGCTTTTTATTTTGTTCTCATGCACACCCTAGGTATTGTTATCTTTTAAAACAACTTGAGTACCTTTTAGATCAACTTAAAACCTGTAAGTCGAAGCAGTGTACAATAATATAAACGCTCTTAATTTTTTATGCTTTGAGGGTTTAATTTTTTGTTTTGCTGTTTCAAAAAAGAAATTTGTGTTTTTCAGAAAATTTATTATATATAATGTACCTTTATATATAGTAAATTTTATAATTACTACATAAAATTTATAATATATAAAGGTGTGCGACTAGAACTCTTTTCATAAATGGAAACTAAATGAACATCTAATTATTATTGTAATAGGTCCTAGTTTTATTTCGGCGCTTTGAAACAGATGTAATACATTGTCCTCCAAAATACAAGCAAACAAATAAAAAATTCTATTTTTTTCAACTTCAATTACTGAATATATCATTATTTAAAAAATATTTTTTAAACAGAATCAAGTTGTTAATATATAAAGTATAAGGAAAGGATTTTTATATGATACGAATACTTAATGTTGATGAATAAAAGTGTTGCTTTCCATGTTTTTGCAACATATGGGCGGTAGACGCAAAACATGTCGTCTTGCTAGCAATAAAATTATTTTTAACGTCTTAAAAAATCCTTTTGAAATCGTTAATGATACCTTTGAAAAACTGAAACGTTTAGTTCCAAAAATATTGCGACTATTTTCGGAACTAAACGTTTACAGCTATTACGAGTTCTGAGCAAAAAATCTTTTTATTTTTGAATTTGCTAATTCAATTCTTGTTTTCCGATACTGCACTATTAATGGTTGGAAAAGTGTTTTACGGAGCAACGAATCAAAGTACATTTTTTGCATTTTCATTGTTTAAACATTTTGATTTAACAGGTTTTGAGGAAAACCTTCGACCTACTATCCACAACACTTTTACCTAGTAAACTTATAAAACAATGGTTTCCAACAAATAAAGGTAAAATCGTCAAACAATGGTTTGCAACGAATGAAGCTATTGAAAATACGTGGAATGAGATTAAACAAGAAAAAAATTGATAAACTTATGACTATGTTTGAGACAATGCCAAAAATGATCCTAAAAAGTAATGCTATTAATTATTGATTAACCTTTATTTTTAATAAGTTATAAAAAAGTTCCTAATGTGTTGAAAGACGACAATTTTACATTAAAATACCAGTAAATGGTAAACAACTTATTCATGTAGTTTATTAACTACAGGTAGTTTATTAAGTACACAATTTTTCTATATATGTAATGTTAATAACTTTATTCCGTTAAATTTTTTTTTTCAGAAAAAATGCTGTATTTAGTAATTAAAGTTTGAAAAATAGAAATTTTATTTGGTTTGTTATGTTTTTGAGGACACTATGTGATGTGTCAAAATACCTCACGTAATCATCATTTTTTATGACAAAAAAAAACAACTACCAAGTTAAATTTTCTATGGTATTAACGGTTTTAAGTTTTTAATTAAAAATTATAATAGATTAAAGTAAAAATATAGAAAATAGAGTTTTAAAAGTTAAAGTAGAATGTATTTTGTTATGTTTAATTGTAACTAACCATATTTAAGTTTAACTAACCAATCAAAGTAACAATAGTTACTTCAAACTAAGATCTTTTAAAAAAATAACCCATCTGCATAGTTTAAATTACACAGGAACAGATCAATTAACTTAACTCCTTTGATATTTCCAGACCGATTAAGTTTTGATTCTATTTTATTACTTAGCACAAAATTCGAGCTCTAACTTTTTAATAAAAGTTAGGGTTTGAATTTTTTGCATTAAAAATAAAAATGACTAATCTTTTAATACACTAAAATATTACATACGTGTTTTAGTAACTTAGACCGCATAATCCCAGCTAACATAAAACGTTCGAGCAACTTTGACAATAAAGAAAGTACTGTGAAGTTATTTGCAATAAATTGAAAATTCATATTTAAGATATTTATCATACATAATAAATTAGAAATTTTGTCTAAAAAGATGAAATTAGTTATTATTTGTTAAATATATATATATATATATATATATATATATATATATATATATATATATATATATATATATATATATATATATATATATATATATACATATATATAATAAAATAATGTATAAACCCTTTCGGTTCCCGTATCCCTACGCTACTGACTGAAAGCAATAAATAATAGAAAAGACACCGACAAAGATTTCATTATTTTGTATTAACACAGAAAAAATATCTCAAATTAAGGCATTGTTATATATATTTAAAATATTTATCAGTGGCGGGTTTTAGGGGGGGGGGGAGATGCATGGGGTAGTAGCCCCCTCCTTGGGACTTTTTTTCAGAAATATATAAAGCAAGAACTTGTCTATCATTAAAAAATGTAAAAATTTTATTTTTCCTTTATACACAGCTATTTATCAAACGTCAATATAGCATTGGCAGGTACCCATAAAACTTAATTAAGCTCTCTCTATAGACGGTAGAAACTCGCTTCAAGAATTATATTTTATAAAGACAAGCTTACTCATGCAAAGCTATCACTAAAACAGATGAATGCTTTAAACTTTTACCAAATCAATATGGGAACTGTTCTAAGTTAACTTTTTTTAAACTAATATAAATAAATTTAACACTAGAGCAACTAAAGAAAATTATAAAAAAAAGGTTCTCGATGACAAGACTTCACACAGTTTTCTGTGAGTATGTACTTATAAATATGTATATACTTATAAATTAAAATATGCATACCTTTTTTTTTGAAAAAAACTTTTTCGCCCCCTCCTTGGCGAGTGACAAAACCCGTCCCTGATATTTTAACACCTATTTAAAACGTGAGCAAAATAGGACGTTTTATTTCTTATTTTATTACTTCAAAATATTTCTATTTACATGAAAAGCTTTCTTAATTTATTATTATTTAGCAGATATAAATTTAATAAGCATGAAGTTTAAAACATCAGTCTCCTCACTCTACTTTTACTAAAAACTACAGTGACGCCGGTGTGTTTTCTAACGCCCGAGTTCTTGCGTTTTCGATATTTTATATTTTTGTAATCGATTTTTTTAACACCTGAGATACATTTCCCACAATCGTTACTCCCCCGGGGTTCTTATTTAGTTATGTGCAGATTTGAACTTGTGAAGATTTGGACTTGTGAAGCAATCTACCAACAAATCATAAATCGCTTATTTAACCAAATAAATTAGTCTAACCAAAGTGCTTGCATAGTGCCTACGTGATTTTACCTGAAAATGGCTCTAAGACTTTTCGTAGGATTAAAAAATTTGAAGGTAAAGTATTTATGTATGTTTGTTTTATGTAGACGCCATATAAACATTTGATTTGACAGCTTGTTGACATATGACGCTGACATGATCGCTTTGAAAATTTTTTACTTATATGTTGGAGGTGTGTCATCATAAATTTAAACTCAGTGTAATACATTTGTACTATATTTAGCTTTTCATTTAACATGTTTTTATTTAATTGCTTTAAAGTTAATCAGCTTTTTTAATTTGTTTGTTAGTATGAAAATAGAGATTTATAAATAACGTACTATTAATTAATGCCAATAATCTATGGAATAAGACTATCATTTTGACAGTGACGACAGCCGTGAAAATTTTTTATATTTACATTGGTTTATAGATGGATCAAAATTGTTTAATTTAGATTTTCTGGAATGGATCTCCTTTAGTGCGTACTATATCAAATATTAAGGTACATTGAAATAATTAATACAATGAACTTACAAGTAATCATTATCAAGGCAAAAATGCAAAGTTTTTAATAAATTTTACTTAATCAACTTTTTATATTATATGTGATAAAACAACTTAATCGTTTTATCACATATAATAATTAAAAAGAAAGATTTAATAGTTTTGACTTGATTCTTTTAGAATTAATGTCTATGATGTATGTCAAGTGTGTACACGTAAAACATATTAAATACTTGTTTTAAGGATTTTCCTTAAATTCACATTTCTTTAAATTCACTCAAGTGCTCACATGACATTTAAAGGATTTTTATTATTAATTATTATTTTTATTGTTAAATGTTGTCAAATGTGTGTAAATATTTATATATATATATGTATATATATATATATACATATACACACACATATACATGTGTGTGTATATGTATATATATATATATATATATATATATATATATATATATATATATATATATATATATATATATATATATATATATATGTATATATATATATATATATATATATATATATATATATATATGTATGTATATATATATATATATATATATATATTTATATATATATATATATATATAAATATATATATATATTTATATATATATTTATATATATTTATATATAGGGCAAAGGACTTTTTTTCATATACTTACAGATTTTCTATGGAAATAAATGAATATTATGAAATTTCAGAATTTTTTTTTTCATAATGACAGATTACATATTTTTATACGAGGCATAGCATTTTATTCTTCTCTTGTTCGTTTTAAACAAGCTTCTGATGTCAAACTTTCACCATAGCGAAACCTAATAACTTGTGCAGATCTTCCACGATGAGAGGTTTCTGCACATTTGGACTGTAATTGTTTAAGAAAAAAATCTTTGATTGTGGAAGTTGATGTAGAAATTAATAATGATGTATTTACGTAGTAGCTCTGGAAAATGTTTTTTCGACACTGGTCCATTATGCGTTTACAGGTCGAAAAACTGATGTGTCTAAAGGTTAAAGAAGATGGGTAAGATGTGCAGGAATGCGTTGGAGAATAACTTTATTTTTTTTTGCTAAATCAATAAGTGAGGAGCTATTATGAGAAATATGGCCATCGAATATAAGCACACGGGCGGTTTAAAAGATGCTTTGTATAAATTAGAAATATGTTTCGAAACCATTCTAAAAAATGGAGGCACTCCATCTAGCCCTTACTACTGGTAGTATAAACATCTCCATCAGGTCCACCTTTAACCCAGTCCATATACAAATATTTTCCTTTGTATATAATATATGGTGGAAATACCTGTCCACTAGCAGAGCATTGGTGGATCATGCTCCCTACCTGATCCACAATTTACTCCTTAGGGTCGGTGACAAACCCTGATTCATTAAAGATTTGATTAGGAAGGTTAATAATTCCTGGATGCAACCAGTCTTTACTTGGTTGAGAATCTATAAATGGCGTATCAATACTGTTTGTTTTAAGATAATCTTGTACTAAATCTTTAACTTTCCCTCTTGTAAAACCCCATCCCTAATCAGCCATTAAAATAAGGCAATCTGATAGCTCCTTTTCTTGCTGTGTGGTTAAAACTGTTTTTTGCCCTGGATGAGAGTCAAAAGATAGTTTACCATTTACTCTTTTTAAAAGCGCTCTTCTTATCACACCTAAAATGTTTGGATGCCTGGTTTATTGACATTTCTTTATTCAAAACAGAACTGCAGGTATCTATCATTTCTTGGCTGTTTGAGTAGGATTTTCTTGCTTCAACTTTTTGTATGTTCGAACCATTCTAAGGAGAAAAAATATTATTTTCAAAAATACAATGAAAATATTTTTACATTATACTTTTTTACATTAAAAAGTTGGTTGCAATTTTTTTTATATTCTTTTAACTATATATTTTGAAATTGATAACTGATTTAAATTTATTAGAGAGTTTTGCCATTTTTTACTAGTCAGGGAGGCCATTAAGACCTTCTTGTTTTAAAATACAAATTTTATTCTTTAAGTAAACAAATAAACAAAGTTTTTTGCAACAAACATCTCAAAGAAGTCTTACCTTTGCTAGAAAAACAAAAAAAATTTTGTGTATAACAGGCTTTCACAGGAAGACGTACGATTTCACGTCTTAATATGACCACGCAAAAAAAAAGTGTTTTAACTATTTGACCACGGCATTTTTTTAAAACTTAAAAACTACAAAAACTTACCTAAATTTATCTAAAAAGAATTTAAAAATTAATAAATATTAACGAAATAGAAAATAAAAATAAATACTTAGTTAAAGCAAAAACACAATAAAATAAATATATATATATATATATATATAACGCAACTAAAACAAAACTCAACAAACTAAAATGCTTAGTCTATTTAATTTACGCATTAAAAACCTTTTCATCTTTGTTTCAACATTTTTATATATTTTTTATTTATTTAATATGTTCAAAAGTTGAATATTTCTCATAAAAAATACATAATTAAATAATTAAAATAAAAAAATATTTTATTAATACTTTTTTTAAAATTAATTAGAAGCGTTTTTTTTTGACTCCATTAAAAGCGTTTCGATAATATAAAAGCATTTAAGATCAAACTTATTAAATAGTAACGGTTTTCTAAAACTTTTTTTTTTCAATGAAATTTTGTTTATCTTTTTAGATGCATTAACTTTAATCATTCTTATATTTAATTCGTTAAAGAGACTTTCGTAGTTGTAGAATGTCATCGTTTATAAAAACAAAACAATTTTTAATAAATAAAATAAAAAATTATTTTATCAATACTTTTTTTTAAATTAATTAGAAGCTTTTTTTTTTTACTCCATTAAAAGCGTTTCAATAATATAAAAGCATTTAATTAAATTGTAATGGTTTTCTAAAACTTTTTTTTTTCAACAAAATTTTGTTTATCTTTTTAAATGCATTAACTTTAATCATTGTTATATTTAAATTCGTTAAAGAGACTTTCGTAGTCGTAGAATGTCATCGTTTATAAAAACAAAACAATTTTTTATTTTTTAATATGATTTATTTTAGAAATGAACACTTAAACAGTTTGTATGTTTTAAATTAAAAAAAATATATACAACTGTCAATTATATTTAAAAAACAAAACTTTTTTTCAGTAAATTGTTACTTTATTAAAAATCTTTTCGCTAATATAAACATTTGTTAAGAAGTTTTGATGTAATTAATTTCACTTTTTTAGAATATTTTTTATTTAGCGCATTTCTAAAACATTTTTTGAAATAGCCACGGTCAAACCGTCATAGCAAAATGTAACTTGCGTGGTCATATAAAGACTTGAAATCGCACGTCTTCCTGTGAAAGCCTGGTACAAGGTAATTTTAAAGGTATAAATGTAAAATGTCTACACCTTCTTTAGACGGCTCTGACTCAATGGTTTTTACAAAAATAAATATGAGATTTAAGCTATTATTTTTATGTCTAAATGTTACTTTAGTAGAATGTGTAACTTTAAAAAAGTACTTAATAAACTTAGATACTACTTTAATTTCAAAAAAAAAAATAAAACAACAACTTGGAATAGCCTTTTTAATAAAAAACTGAGGAGCACCAATTTTGGCAAAGTTTTTCATAAACTTTGAACAAAATTAAAAACTGCCGTAAAAAACATCGATATTGAAAACCAAATTATTAATGGTAAAAAATTAGTTGTTAGTCCAAGAAATGTTTTAAACTACTCTCTTATGTACTAAGTAAACATATATTATGTAAAACTTAGTAAATTATTATTTACACAATAGCATAAAAGATTTTAAATTTAGCTCTGCTAAAAAAGATCTTAATGCCCCGCTGATCTTATTACCCCGCTTTACCCTATATATATATGTGTATATATATATATATATGTATATATATATATGTATATATATATATATGTATATATATATGTATATATATATATGTATATATGTATAGAGTTGCAAAGAAACATGTTTTTTTCTTTTGGCGTTTTTTTGGGTCAAAAAAACGTGTTTTTTTGGGTTTTTTGGCGTCTTTTTGGTTTTTTTTGGTGTTTTTTTGGTTTTTTTGGTGTTGTATTGCTTTTTTTAACAATTTTTCAGTTTTTTTTATATAAATTTTGGACTAGTTTTCCTTTAATCTAGTATAAATTTTAGTATTTGGCCATTAAAGGCACAATTAGATGTATAAACACCAATTTAACATAAATTTTTTATAAAAAATTTAAATTAGCTTTAAGTTAGTTATATATTAAGGTATACTGTATGAAAATGTTTATTTTCTGTTTTGTTGTACTAACAACTGTGATACTCTGATAAAAAAAATACTATTTTAACTTTGATAATGTAAATACATTAATGTATAATACCATGCAAATTTAATATCACACTTCGAATGCTCAAAAAAATAAGCTATCTATCAAGATTATTAACTTAATTAAGCATTTGTATATTATGTAGTAATTAAGTCTTACATTGTTTGTTTGTTACATCAAAAAAATAATTATTGCTAGTATGCCCAATAAAAAAAAGCCCTATACTGAACTTAGTTTCAAGGAAAATTTAAAAACTTTTTAATTATTATTATTTACGGAGTTTCCCAGACCCCATTCACCTGATGATTCGTAATTTATTTATTTGTAATTAATTTTTTAACAGCATTTTTTTTTCTAATTACATTTATTCATCTAAATATTTTCATATAGCACTATATCAGAACACTTGCAAAATTCTTTAATATGCTCTGTTTTTTAAGTTCAATTTTTAGACATAATCTTATAGCAAAAGAATTGTTAGTGGTAAAGCATTTTTTGTATTAATCTATTTTTTGTCAGTATATTTTGTGTTAATCTATTTTTAGATTCTAATTCAGAAAAGATTTATATAAAATTTCTCTTTATTTGAGTAATAAGTTGACTTTTTTAATGTAAACATTTTAGAGACCATTCAAACAATATTAGGGACCTGTTGAATAGAAAATGAGCTTAAGTATGA